TTTTTCCCCTGAAATAAATTCCAGTGAATATGCCATTTCCCTCATACTATATTGAGACACAGCGCAGTGAAAATTAGATTCACATGTAATGCTTGAAAACATGTCAGCAAAAATAAATTAAGTGAAATTCTACGTGACTTCATAATAGTTGGAAATGAACACATTACACCCGACCCTACCACTCCATATACAATGTAAACTACACCCCAAAACATCCTTTCACCCACAGTTACTACCGTGTTTCACCAGTGTATTCTATTTGACGTCAGGAGAAATTGAAATAAACAAATTAATTATAATTTCAGCCTCTAGTTTACCACTGATTAAATAAACTACCTCGTCTTTATGTCAACTTGCAGTTATTCGTTGCCTACATCAGTGACTTCAAAATATATGTTTCAATCCCAGGAATTTCACTCGCTGTTAATTGCATGGGAGTGGCAGTCTTTAATGAATTTCTATTGTCATGTCAATTTCTTGCGATTACTCGAACATTAAGCTGTAACCACATACCGCCTAGGTGCTGTAATTAAATCCTGGTGTAAGCACCATATGAACTATGAACAATGCATGTGAAGCCAGCTGTGGGGTATATTCAATCCTATAGATTTCTCATTGTTTGGTAACTATTTGCTGCAAATGCAACAAAAATCAATATAAAAAATATTACCCACACAGTATTCTACAGGTTACTTGTTTCATTGTAGATACGAACACGTTCTAGAAGAAACATCGGTCGGGTGTGCCTGTATGCGACCACGTGTATTCAGACCGGATAACAAATAACATCGCTTCGTGTATACTTCCATCTACTCAACTTGATACACTTTATTTTTTGAAGAAATCCCACCTTCTTAAATTGTAACTATATTTGCTGAGCAAATAATATGACAGTGTCATACAAATGACAAACCCTATTATCTATAATGAACATTTTAACTGTTGGTATGTATATACTGTTGTATTTTATCACTTATTTTAACGACTGATATTGTAGTTTTGCTTCTATGAGGCGTTGATTTGGTAAGCCGAAATTCAGCTTGGTCCGACTAATATTAGTTATCGTTTCCGTCTATCCGATGATATAGTATGTATATGTAGTATTTTATTAATACATAATTCGTATATATTTTTATTGAGCACTGAATAATTGTATTTGATAAATAATTTGAATGTTGAAAATACGTTTTGTATCGTGAGCACAACTACATTATTTTTCATCGAGATACTGCTGTTCTTACTGCTAAAACAGTTTTAGTTTTACAATACATCATACCATACTGTGTATGCGATATCAAACACGTATATTTAAATGACAAACTGAAGAATTAGAATTGTTTTATGAAATATGGAACTCAGATAGCTGATTTAATTTATTCGAATTTTAGTCACGTGGTTATTAATAATATTTCGTTTATGCAATACTGCATAGTCAAGTGTATGTCGTTTTGACAATATTAGCAAACATGTTCACAGACATTATATAGTGTACCGAACTTTAATGGAGTGGTCGATGCTCAATTGTACGAGTATTGAACCATTTCAAACCTCCAAATAGTTTTAATGCGACAATAAACATTCATAAACATTTAAACGTGTGTTTGTTACTTTGTTTGTTTGTTTGTTTGTTTGTTTGTTTGTTTGTTTGTTTGTTTGTTTGTTTGTTTGTCTTGTTTGTCTGTTTGTCTGTTTGTCTGTCTGTCATTTGTTTTACCAGCAGCCTATTTACACGTTTATGTATCACGTACATCATGATTTTGGTTGTTTGTTTGTCTGTCATTTGTTTTACCAGCAGCCTTACACGTTTATGTATCACGTACGTCATGATTTTGATCCAGGGACGGGGTCAACTGTCATAATAGACGCGTAATTAGGGTAGTTATTTTGGCCATCCGTGGCAGTTTCATTGTTTTTGTTTTTTTAATTTTTGGATCAACGTTGGGAAATTTTTCCACGGCTGGGAATGTGTACATTTAAGGATAAAATCGGTAATAATTGTGTTCAGGTGTACACATTGCTAATTATAATTGAATATAAGAGATATATATAGTCGTCTCTCTGACGTCAGTCGAAAGAAAGCAAAATCTAAATACGATCCGGTGTTTCTTTTTCGTAAACAGCGTAAAATTGAAACTAATAATTTTTGAATCGAATATAGCGTCTAACATGATTCACTGAAGCCCTTACCCCAGCAAGTTTTAAATGGACCACCGGATATTTTTCCCGGTAACCTTTTCTAATCTAGACATATCCGCCAACTTGCCCATGTTCACCTTATTCCACCTTCTTCGACCAAAACGTAAGTTTGTTCGCTATGAAGATCTCTGAAGAAGATTCGTGTGACCGGCCATGAATAGACGGCTTTAGCGAAACTGTGCCATTCGGACGCTGACCTTATATTTATACTAGTACTCAATACTTTTAGTTTTAACATGATATCGCGTCTTTGCAAGTAAAGGTGTGTAAATATTGGCGGTATGCACTGCGATCCGACTTCTGAACGTGTTACGTATGATCCTAACACCATCGCCAGAAAAACGCAAATGCATTCAAATTTATATATATATATCATTTATTGTGCACTCATGCTATTGAATGACTTTTTATAACTGGATATCATATGTATACTTTTAATATTTTTCACATTTCTATATAAATTGCATAGTAATAAATATAAGCTACCATGACGACACAGTCATGTGGTGAAGGTGTATGTACGCCCCCAACGTTCAATCAGTGAGACTTAGGCGTCTATGCGTTCGGTTCTATGAACACAGAATTACGTGAACGATGAATTACAAGTTTGCTACACCAATATCCTAACATATCTAGCCCATGTCAATTCTGAAAACAGAAGCCAAAATGTTGATACATAGAAATTAATTTAACTTCAGAGGCCTTCGGGTTGTTCATTAGAACGACAACCGATGATCGACGGAACCAGAACCACATCATAGCTTACCAAACGATTACTCTCAACTCCCTCAGTGATGTGGGCGCATTTTACCAATCGACTCCCAGGAGAAAAAATGGTTACGTTTCTCCCAAGATTATCAACTTCTGGATACTCCCTTGTCTCTTTTGGACTGAAGAAAAACAATACAAGACATATCTTAATCAGAACTTTAAAAAGATAAATTGGCGTTACTTTTCGAACATGGAAGGATACACCACTGTTATTTACATTCACATGTGGAACCACATAGAGATGTAGTAGAGTGCAACCGCATCGTGGCCGTGATATTATAAAATGTTATTCAGGAGTCATCACGTGAACGACCTCCTCCTGCAAAATCGTCCCTGATAGTGTATACTTCTAATAATTTAAGTCTCCCAATCATGTCTTATGACAATTTGTTCAGTTATTTCTGTGTAATTTTGGCAGTCGTAAATATAGCTGTACACGGTCTTAAAATATATATACGGCCCAGCCAGATAGACTATAGCCAGATAGAATATAGCTGTCTCCAACATCTCCTTATATGGCATACCGTAGCAAACACGTCCCATAAGTCTTAATATAGCACGATGTGGTAAATAAGTCGTTTAAATCTCCTTATATGGCACAATGTGGTCGTTTGTCCCTCCATATATGGCACAATATGGTCGTTTGTCCCTCCTTATATGGCACAAAGTGGTCGTTCGCATCTCCTTATATGGCACAATGTGGTCGTTTGTCCCTCCATATATGGCACAATATGGTCGTTTGCCTCTCCTTATATGGCACAATATGGTTGTTTGCCTCTCCTTATATGGCACAAAGTTTTGCATTTACTTTTATGGCACAATGTGGTTAGGCTCTCGTCTGCGTCATTGTCATTTACCATACTGATGAAGACAACATATGTCCTTGCCGCTTCTGTGCTTTACGAAGCAGTTCTCTCAACGCTTTGTAGTCTTCTGCAGAGTAGGATCGACTCGGTTTTATCTGAAAATGATCAGTGTTAATAATATCAGTATTTGATAATTGTGACGTAACCTACCATTTACAGATAAACAGCTTCGATATTCAGTAACTGTCAAATAATCTGAAACTAATACAATAACAAACATTAACAAATCTAAATCTTACTCAGTATATATGAGAAAAGTCGATAATTGTGGGCAGTAGTATTGTTATTGCGATCATTGATTGAGATGCGTTTTGAGTTGTATTTTAAAGCGGAGGGATCGTCACCTGCGCATGTGCGGGAATTGAGTCCCAAGCGACAATAACAATGCACGCTAAAACGCAAAGGCTCATGGGTAGACATAACCGTCATGTGATTATACGTTAGTCTCGCTTTGAAATTATCTGTACAGATTCAAAGTTTGTCTCGGTGTACATAGTTATGAATTGATAAACATTCATGGCTCAAACGACAAATTCAAACTTTCCTTAACAGCGGCGCCACAGTCAATTTTTGTGAAAAACATATTTTTTTCAGAAATATACATTTTGCATATTCAACGTTTTTTTGTGCAGTGCAATGTTTTTGTTGTGCACGGACAGTGTTCGAAGACTGATGGCAATCGGAAAACAGGCGACGTAGAGTACCCTTCATAGGCACAATAGATTACCCGTCTAGGTTAATAATGGTGATTCTAGTTAGCACTTTTCCAGAGAGTTCTTTCCAATCGTGATTTAAACCAGTGAAATTACAACTAACAATTAGTAATACCTTTCGGAGTGTGTAATATTTCTTTGAGGTCAAAGGTGAGGTCGATGGCGTTGGGACGGATGACACTTTTCCAGTAGGAGTCGCTTCATCTTCTTTATCAGATTCTATATTACTTTCCCTACCGCTATCATACGCCGTATCGCCGTCGGTGTGAATCTCAGA